TAGAGGTGGAGAACAGAGAGATAAATGTCGTGGCCTCTTTTCCGGTCGTCTATCATGAGGTGATGGTGGAGAATAGGCTCGATGATGTGATGGAATAGGTGATGGTGATGGTGGAGGTGGAGAAGAGGCTCGATCAGGTGATGGCTCCGGGTGTCGAGCTATAGAATCGGCCCGATCAGGTGATGGCTCTCGAAGTGGGGGGTGCTCATCATCCATCCCATCAAAAAACTGCTTACTAGCTTGCCACCAATTAGTGGCAAGCTCAGCCTCTGTGGGTGTCAGCCTTTTTAATGGATAGTTGGCCTCCTAACAATATAAAAGCTCAAACAAAGTTAAACTTGTACTAGTAATAACTTGTTTATATATGGTATTATTTGTGTGTTAACTTACATCATTCATCGTCGTATATGGGAGTAACTCTTCCCAATCCAACATGCGGATCCTCTTCCAGGTAATAGTCCTAGGAATATCATTTGATCTTTTTATCGCATATGTCCGCATGCTGGGGAAAGCCTCAAATATCCAAATCTACAAAACAATATAATACACAAACATTAGTAATTGTTAAATAATTAATTATAATTTTGGAAACATTATATAGAAATTCTTACCTTAAAGGCCCAAGTAAAGCCTGTCAAAATGCATTTAGAACCATCGCCCCGCAAACTTTTTCGGTCCTCAAAGGCACACGACAACTTCTTCCAGGTAGTTTCCCATAGATATGAACCCCACGGAAACAGATTCCATGCATTTAGGTCATCTACCAATAATATTAGGTCCTAAGAGATAGGTTGTCTGCCTCTTTGCCTAAAAAGTCGGCATGCAAAAGTAATAAATGGCATACTCGGACAACATCAAGGTCATCCATCCGAGTAAAACCATCTTTAATAAATAATCTCTTCAAGTCGTCGACGTGTAAACTCGGCTTCGACTTTGCCAGCTCAGGAAAAACCCGAGATAACCATGATGGGCGGGAGATATGACTAGTGTATCGGGTTACTTCATCGTGTCCGAAGCATATACCGGTGATTAAGCAAAACTCCTCCCGCCCAAAACAAGTATACGTCGGTGCCGGAGGAAAATGAAACCATATCTCTTCATCACTACGTTGTATTCTCTCGGGTAGATCGTTAGTCATGGTCTGAAGAAACAAATGTGTCAACATAGCATCTCCACCCGTATGTTGTACTTTCAGCCATAGCCCGAAGCAAGTATCCTCAAACAATTTTCTTTGTAGAGGTGTAAGCGTCGACGCAATTTTAGAGGCTATGCTTAATTTATTCCTTAAGGTCAATGCAACCGAAAAAATTTCTACAAAAACAATAAACATACCAAGTTAGATATACCAAAATCTACAAATTATACACTATAAACAGACAAGATATTAAACAGTGAAAACAAAGCCAAATATGTTTCAAACTAGCACGGTATTCACATGCTGTCATTATTCCATCATAGTTCACAAAATGCATCAAATGACATTCCAGAAGTAAGCACTTATATAAACATTTAAAAGGACAACATATAGGTTTAGTGCAGGTTCAAGGACAACATAAAGAGTAGTAGTTTATTCTTGAAACTTAAATTAGCAACACTGTGAAGTTAGTATTTGTCTTTGTTTTTTCTTTTTGTTGAAGTAATGCAATTCATTCAAGTTTCAATTTGCAGAATAAGAGTAGTTTCTGAAACTTAAATTAGCAAAGCGAAAATGAAAATCGTAACGAAAAAATCGCAACGTGAAACTAAAATCGGAGCCCATGTAGTTACAGAATTAGGGGGAAGATAAAATAACCACTCCTTAGCCGAATGAAAAAGGAAAAGCTCTAAGTTTGATTTGGTCATCGGTTACTCCCTGTGGTCTCATGTTAGAGCAGACCATATGAAATTCCTTGAGATGTTTGTATGGATCCTCGTTTAGCAATCCACAGAATGTAGGGAAGAGATGAATAAGGCCAGTTTTTAACTGGAATAGAGTTTCACCTTGGGGAAAATCAATGCATAAAGGCCCTTGTTCAGTTGGTGGCGCGGCTAACTCCCGGATAGTAGGTTCGACCATCGGAATTGTATCAACAGATTCACATATATTTGATTATTCTTCTGGATTTGATTGTTGTCTCCTTCTTTCCCAAAGTGTCTTTGCGTGGAGTCTCCTAGCTTTAGCTTCGATCTCCGGGTCGTACTCCACTAATGCGCCCGAATTAGTCCTGGTCATAAATCAAAAGCAAACAAAAAATTAGTAACTTTGGCGAAGTCCCCGGCAACGGCGCCAATTTGACAATTGTCGTTTTCGATGTCAAAATAAATTCCTTTTTCTCAATTAATAAATAAGGAAATACATAGTATAGAGAAATAAGGGTCTAATCCTCAGGGACTTAGAAAATCATAAATTTATGTTTGAATGGTTTTAACCAAGCGAAAAAAATAGTAAAATGGGGGGTTTTATAATATAAGATTTAAATAGTAGTAAACAATGATTAAATAAATAAAAGCAATTAAAGTATAAATAAGAGGATGAAGATATTGAATAAATACTGTAAAAGTAGCCTCAAGCTTCATTCTGACTCAATTTCCTTTAGATCATTGAATAAGATTTTCTCTTCGGGATTCACGTAAGTTACTTTGTCTAGAAGGGTTATCCCCGTGACTCTATCTTGTATACCGAATACCCAAGACAATCTTTGATTCCGGCTTCGGGAATTGATCCTATCAACATCAATTGTCGTAGATCAATTATCGTTTAAGTTTGTGGTGACTGACTCAGATTGTTGCTTCAATAACCGTCAATTTCGATCTCAATTCCCTCTTGGCGAAGCCATCTCGCCAAGTGTGTTCCCAGGAAGTCGAATTTGTTTTCTATAAGCCGAATCTTCCTCCCACACATTTAATCGCAACAACCTCTTGACCAAAGTCAATCTTTGATTTTGAAAACTATTTTGATTTTGAAAAATAAACGCAGAGATTGGGAGAGATATTATGAAGATATTAAGGGTTTGTTTTAATTCTCCCATTGGAATTGAGTCATCGCGTCAGCTCTCGGCTTATGAAAAATTTAGCTAAGCATGACAAAAGTCATACTTAGCATATTAAAAGCAAAACTTGAAAAGTAAAAAGAGAAAACTTTAATAAAAACCAGAGAGAAAAGAATATTGTAATTTGAGTGATGAGTTTAGGCTTACCCCAAGTGGGTATTTATAGCCTCTCAAAGCCTAAGGATAAACAAGAAAATAAAATAAAATAATCCTAAGATAATTGTTTTTTAATTTAAATTCAAACTTAAACTAGTCTCCTAATGCAACTCTGCTCGCCAATCTTCTAGAAGGTGTGCGGAGGAAGTCTTCTAGAAACCGTCGCTGACTGGACCTTCTAGAAACTGCCACGTCAGACCGCGTAGTGCCCAGAGTCGTGCCCATGTCTCCAACCGTGACCAAATATTAAAAAAATGCAGAATGCATCCGTTTTGTCACTAATTCTGGAAAGTAAGGACCTGCACGAAAACAAGCATAACACAACCAAGCAGCAATAAATCCACAAAACCGAAGAAATAACAAGCAAGGAATGACGATTCTGAATACTCATCATATTCATATGCCAAAACATGAACGATAATGACAGTTTAAATGTGATGCAATTGCTCATACTCCTGCTCATACAAGTAGGGTCTGCCACAGAGGCAGATGCCACTGAATCTGAAAAAGTGTCATTCACCCCGTCGAGTGAATGTACTGAATTTCTCCTATCATCAATCGTCCCAATATGATATGCAAATGACACATATATTTGATATCTGATCTATTTTGAATGGCACATATCCGAATAACATATACTCAAATATCGTATATATGAATTCTTATCTGATCTGAATGAGAATACATTTACATGTTTCTAGATACCGAACACATAGCATAATCTGAATCCGATAAATAACACGTTACACATAACACAATTGTTGTCTGACATATCATAATAATCAGATATTCCAAATGCATAACATATATTCCAAATACAACATATCAACATACAACACATAACATTTATCCGAATTTAATGCAAACAATTTCAATCAATTTCACAGAACAGTCAATCTCACAATTTAACAGTGCATACCAAAGAGTCAAGTAAGCACATAATTTTAATATAGCACCGAACAGAGACACACCTCAACAAAATAGTTTACGATTAACGTAACGTTTCCTACGATCAGCTCAAATAGTAGGTTTAACTGAACCAACTCCTACACCAAAAATAATAATAATTTGTAACTCTAAAATACCATCAGAACCAAACGAAACTAAGGTGCTATCTAACACTCACAGTCCATTTTAGTAAACTGAGTCGGTTCAAAATTAGCAGGTAATGGAAGAGAAGACAGTAATTCCATTTTCAAGTCGATATCTCCTATAAAATTAGCGAGTAGGTGATGTTATATTGGTTCATTACAAAACAGAGGAACAACTTGTAGATATTTTCAGCAAACTGCTTCCAGTAAGCAAATTTGAAGTTTTGATAACAACACTTGGTGTTCGTAGTTCCTAAAGCAAGGAGGAGTGTTAGTTGACGTGTTTAGGACTGTTTCTATTTTTAGATTCATTTGTTATTCGTGTGTTGCTTAAGTTTAGGAGAAAATTGTTCATGAGTTGTTGCTTAAATTTAGGAACATGTTGTTAACGGGTTGTTGATTTTATTTTATTTAAATTCTGAATGATTGTTGGATAAAATTACAATGTTCAGTTTCCTTCATCCATTGAATTTTCTTTTCATTAAAAAAACCAACAAATAATAATAATATATATATATAGTTTTCAATAATTCATAAAATGATTTGGTAGTGTCTCTATCTTTACAATTAGAAATGATAAACAAGAATCAAATGACGCTCTAAGACATTATTTTGTCCTTCTATATGAATTATTGAAAACTATATCTTTTTGACAATACCTAACGCACTAACGTTAGACATTTTTTTTTTGGAAAATCATTAACGTTAGACATTACCTAACTCAGTAACGTGACAATTCTATAAAGAGAAATCAAAATTTTCTCAGAGACGGAACTTGAGATAGCTTTACAGCAATGGAAGTAAAGGTGCAGAACACAATTGAACTTGAGCAGTTTGGCTATTTACCTGCTGAGAATGTCCAATCTCTTGCATCCAAGAACCTCAAGAACATCCCATCCAGATACATCCGACCGGATGTTGAATCCGATGTGGTTTCCACAGATGAATCCCTGCTCATTCCTGTAATTGACCTGAGCAAGCTAGACCATGACGATGGACTGAAAAAACTCCATTTTGCTTGCAAAGACTGGGGTTTCTTCCAGGTACATAATCTAATCACAACTCTCAATTCACAGTCACTTTTTTTTTACCACCTGAATGGACTTAGAAGTTTATTCTTATATGATGGATGAAACAGTTAATCAACCATGGAGTACCAGATGAAGTGATTGAGAAAATGAAGACCGACGCACAAGATTTCTTCAACTTGCCATTGGAGGAGAAGATGGCTTGGGCACAGATACCGAATTACAGCGAAGGCTATGGCCAAGTCTTGGTTTTATCAGAAGACCAGAAGCTTGATTGGAGCGACATATTCTACGTTATTCCCCTGCCTGTGCCCTTAAGAAATATGAGATTCTGGCCGACCAATCCCCCTTCATTCAGGTAAAATCATTCAATTTCATAACCATAATAGGGTGTCTATAACTTGAGCTGTTTTCAGGGAAACCTTGGAGAAGTACTCAATGGAGTTGCATAACGTTATGGTTCAACTCATGAAGCTTATTGCCAAGAACCTGGGGACAGATCCTTGGATGCTCTTAAGCTATTTTGATGAGGACGAAGTACAAGGAATAAAATTGATCTATTATCCACCATGTGCAGAGGCAAGCAAGGTTCTTGGTGCATCTCCACACTCTGATGGTACAGGTTTAACATTATTGCTTCAAGTGAATGAAGTTGAAGGATTACAATTCAAGAGAAACCAGAAATGGGTACCTGTTAAACCCATCCCAGGCGCACTCATCGTCAACATCGGAGACGTTCTTGAGGTAATATAACAATTGTTTCAAGCTACATAGACTTGATGGATCGTATACGTAATGTTATGTAAATGCAGATTATGAGCAATGGAAAATACAAAAGCGCAGTACATAGAGTTGTGGTTAATCCGGAGAAAGAACGGCTGTCGATTGCATCATTTCACAATCAAAAAATGGGAACCAAGATTGGTCCTTTGCAAGATCTTGTTGAGACGAACAAGGCACTGTATAGGACTCTACCAATTGAGGAGTTCCGGAGGTTGAAGATGACCAGCAAAGGTGATGGGAAATATTTGATAAATAAAATGAAGATCTAGCTAAGTTTATCACCTCTTTGTCTAGCAAAAGTGCGTGAACCAACTTACCTTAGTGATTAAAAGAATTATTATTATTTTTAGAAGTAACAGAAGCTTTCATTGTCAAATGGTTAAGAGTATTTAGAATAATTACTACTTTATAATCAACTTAGCTAAATAAAAAAAATACTTGAATAAAGACAGAGATTATGAATGAAGTAGTTAATAACACTCAGGGAGCCTGAGAAACGGCTACCACATCCAAGGAAGGCAGTAAGCGCGCAAATTACTCAATCCTGACACGGGAGGTAGTGACAATAAATAACAATATCGGGCTCTACTGGTATGGTAATTGGAATGAGTACAATCTAAATCCCTTAACGAGGATCTATTGGAGGGCAAGTATGGTGTCAGCAGCCGCGGTAATTCCAGCTCCAATAGCGTATATTTAAGTTGGTTCAAAGAATAAAACTAGTTATATTGATGGAGAATATCGACGACCGTTGGATGAAAACACAATAATTTGTTCATATTATTTTCTAGAAGTGATTTTTAAAATTGTTGTTTAAAAATACAATTTAAAATTTAATTATTTGAGATTGTTGTCAGAAAGTGAGTTTGAAAAGATAAAATGTCTATTATAGACATTATGTTGTAAACTAAAAATATAGAATTTAAATTATATATACACTTATTAATACTATGATATATAAAATATATCAATATAAATTATAATAAAAATATATAAAAAATATTTTAAGATAAATCATTAATAATATATTTTATTAAGAAAAAAAAATATTATCAATACTTTTAATATGTGGATATAAAATTACTACGAAATAATAATTTAAATATTTATTTTGACAAAAAGAATATTACAAAAAAATATATTAGTGCTTGTAAATTAAAGTGGATTTAACATTTGAATTTTAAGATAATATTTTAATTATCTACAATCAAACTTTAGAAATTTAAAATAAAATAATTTAAATTATATATTTATCCTTTTAAAAATTCAAAAATAATATATATTATAAATAAATTCAAATGAAATTATTATTGATATATGAAATATATGAATTTAAATTATAATAAAAAATAAAAATATAATTATAAAAAAATAAAAATATATATTTTATAATAATTTTCTATTAATATTTTAATATATATAAACTATGAATTTCATTTACTTTTAAGTAATTAAAATAAATTATTAAGTAAAAATTATTTTTTAAGGGTGTTAATATTAAATTATTAAAATAAAAAAGTAAATACATAATTGAGTGGATGCTTTAGTAAGGCTAAAATTATAATTTTCTCACAAACACAAACTTGAAAATGAAAAAGCTACAAATACTAACTTTTGCGGTTGGTTTGAAACCATCGTTTCCACCATAATTTTTTTCATTTTTTACCCGTTTGACATTGATTTTACGGTCAAAACGGTTTTTTTTATAGGTAAAAGTGCTTTTAGAAAGCCACACGAGCCTAAATGTTCTTGGAGGATCTGTTCTCGGTGACGTTGTCATATAAGTAGGGGTGAACAATCAATCGAGTCGAGTAAAAAAATTTCAACCTATTCGAGTTGACGAGTCCTGTTTTACAATTCGAAGTTGACTTAAAAAATTTTTGAGTCGAGACGAGTCAAGTAGAATTTTTAAGTTTATATTTAAATTTAATTGTAAATATTTATAATATTATGATGTTATTAGATTCAAATTTAAATGGTTTTTATAACTATATACAATATATATATATATTTCTTCATATGTGATATACATATATCATACAAAGTCGATTGACTCGACTCAAACTTGAAAATCAATCCACTAATGACTAGATATTTCGAGTTATTCGAGTTATATTTTATAACACGATTTGAACTTAATTTTTTTCAAGTCGAGTCAAGTTTATGAAATTACAACTCGAAATCAATTCAAATCGAGTTTTTTTAATCGAGTCAAAAAAACCGATTTTTCAAGTCGAGTCGAATTTCGCATACCCTTACATATGAGAACCGAGAAGCATTCTTCGATAATTTGGTATATGAGTGACAAGCGTTGTAATTGTCAAATAAATAATTTTTTGTTCTCAGATAAATAAGTTATAAATGCATAATAGGGAAAAAGGGGTCGATCCACAGGGATTCAAAATTTTCCAATTTTGAATTGATTTGATCTTGATCAGGAAGAACTGAAAATAATAAAAATAGAAAAAGTGGTTTAGAAAAATTGAATAAAATGAATAAAATTAAAGTAATGAAAGCAAGAAAAATAAATTGTAGAAAGATTAATTATGATGAGAGATAGTCTCCAGCTTCGCTTTGTTTCAATTCGTCTCGATTACTGAAATAGATTTTACTTTGGATACTTGTTGGTTACAGTCTACAAAGCCTAACCCTTGTAACTTACTCTTCTCTCTAGTGAACTAATTTTCCAAAGTCAATTGATGGGTGTGTAATGCACTATGCTATGACACGTAAAATAGTGCAATTATACACAATCAAACAAATAATATATTAGTGAGTGAGTATCGTCTCCACATGGATTGGAGGGATTTCCAAGTTATGTTAATGCAATAAAATTCTATCTAATATAGTATAGTGTGGTATGAACAAGTGAGTTGGAAATGATGTGGCAAATATTTAAGTGAAGTTTTGAAGTAAACAGTAAAAGAATTCCATGGAAAAATTTTGTTGAGAACTGGGTATACAAGATAAGTCAACGATACAACCTCACACGTGTGAAACTCTCAAGAAGGATAAGCGGCTAAGTCTATCTTTGAATCCTATATCTTTTGCTTAATGAATGTTTTATCAATTTTCAATTAATACAATGCTCAACTAATTTTACTAAGGTGTTCTTAGGCTATCTCTAGTAAGAAACCTGACAATGAAAATGCTACGACAATACCTCTCAACGTAAACCCTAGCATGATACTATTGATTAAGCCTTACTCTTTTTAGTCGTTGAAACCCTCTCCTTATCTCTAAGGGGATTAGAACTTCACCATAATGGTTTAGCTCCATTGCTCACAATGATCTAGCCTAATTCTCTCGATATTAAGCATTTATACTTAAAAAAATGGCTAACTCTCAAAAGCTCTTACAAGTCCAAGCAATTAAAATATAAACAATGACCAAATCATGTATATAAACTATAAATGTTCCAAAAAAACCATTTAAACACGAAACAGGTTCATCAAAGATAAACTCAAGCATTTAAGTTAGTTCATGGTTGGGTAATTACCATCCATAATCATCCATTTAATACAACCCATATCCAACAAAAGATAAAGAAAATAAATAAAAACTAAAGGATGAAGAAAACTCTCAAGCCAAGAGTCGTCGTGGATTGTCGTGAACTACCCAAACGTCATTGCTTTTCTAAAAGGCCATCAAGCTTCATCATTTTTGAGCTTCAACAAAGGAGGCCACCATGATGAAGAAGAGAAGAAGGAAGAGTGCCCACCTCCCACGTTTTCTCTCTTATTGTTGGTAATGCTCAATCCCACATAGTGTTGGAAACACTATTGGGAATGGTATTTAAGGCTTGACATTCCACTTCCTTGTTGAGTGATAGAGAACAAGGGGGCTCTCACGCACCACCGCCGCCATCCGTCCGTCTCGTCTCGGCTCGTGGTCGTGGTCGTGGTCGAGGTCGAGGTCGAGGTCGAGGTCAAGGTCGAGGTCGAGGTCGAGGTCGAGGTCGAGGTCGAGGTCGAGGTCGTGGTCGTGGTCGTGGTCGTGGTCGAGGTCGTGGTCGTGGTCGTGGTCGTGGTCGTGGTCGTGGTCGTGGTCGTGGTCGTGGTCGTGGTCGTGGTCGTGGTCGTGGTAATACGTGTCTTCGACACGTCCGCGCGGATACTATCTTTTTAGAGAAAATTATTGAGGAATTTCTCTTTGAAAGAAACAAATGGAAAATGTGAAAGATATCAACTGATATTTATAGGCTGCTGAGGACTGTTTGAATTTCAAATAATAACAGCTGAATTATTTGTTATCAGAAATTAAACAGTTTATTCCTAAATTAAATCAGAAACGTTAAGATGTACCTGGACTGATTTACAGCTTTGTACAGAGGAGACAAGCTGTTAATATCAGGAGTTACAGAAGTTATTTGATTTTATTCCAGGGGTTACATGATATAATTTCGGGAGTTATAACAGCTGAATAATGATACAATGAACCTGGACTATTTCTGAGTCAGGTTCATCTAGACGGTTCATCTAGACGTTTCAGCTGTTACAAATAAGAGGTTTAATCCTGAAATTTTATGGACGATTTTAACCCTATTTCTAGCCTATAAATAGAGAGCTATATTCAGCTTCTCAATTCACTCTCAAAAACATTCACAATTCACTTACAAAGTGTTTTCTAAAGTTCTCTCTGTGAGTTCTCTCTGAGTGCTTTCCGATCAGAAGTGCAATACCACTAGCAGTCCACTCCGGTTTCGGGTGTACGAAATTCGGAGCTACCGTGTTAACCTCGGGGGACGGTCCGTCTACTGCAGCGATTACACACATCGGGGCGAATTCGTTTCTAAGGCAGTGGTTCTTACCACGACACGGTTTACGAATCTGTTCTTCTTAATTACTATTTATATTTTCAGTCAGTGCTAACGGTGTAGTTTTGCAGTTCATATTTCCAACAATTTAGAAACGAATTCGATAAACTGCAATCATGTCGACACCTTTGAGCAAACTCATTCCCGATCTTTCCAAGCTCGATGCACTTGATGGAAAGAACTATAGAAGGTGGTCCCAAAGAATTCTGATATTCTTCGAGCAACTTGATCTTGACTACGTGTTGCTCAAGCCACCACCTACCATGCCGCCAACCCCAGCTGTCGGTAATGATGCGGATGTGGTCCTCAATGATGATGCCTTAGCAATTACCGCCGCCGCTCTAGCTACCTACGAGAAATACGAGAAGGACAACAAGACGGTACGAGGACATCTGCTCAGCCACATGTCAAATAAACTATTTGATATGTTCCTTAGAGAAAGGAGTGCCAAGGCAATATGGGACACTC